AGCTCAGGCTTGATGCCAAACTTGGTTACCCAGTTTCTGAACGAGACCATATTCCTGTCCAGCTGGCTCAGAGTAGGAATGCAACTGTCTGCACTTGGCTGTGGAAACATGCTTTGGCCCTTGGACCTTCAGAAATGCTTGGATTTGTTAGGTGAGATGCCTGGATTCCTTTGAGTTTCTTTCTGATTCTCCAAGAGTCTCACAGACTGTTCATAGTAACACAGGAATAAAACAGGGGTCTTTCATGCTTGAAGCTGTCACTGTGATCACTGATTTGGTGCCCACTGGACTTTAGGGCTGCTTGTGGATTACTGGAGGGTCAGGTGTCCTCAGTTTGTGCTGAGTCCAGGCTCTGTTTTCCTGCAAGTAACAGGCCAGGGTTTAAGAAAGTGTAGACACACTTTATAGCAGAACATGAGATTTCAAAGCAAAAACCACTGGTATGTGTGACAAAGTCATCCATGATAGCCAGGGCTGCTCTGAGGTCCTCAGTGCTCTTTTGAATGTGAAAATTATGAACAAGACTTGCATAGCTCTGGTGGAGCTCAATTTATAGGAGCTTTGTTGCAGCTTTGGGAGGCTGAATGACTAGTGATGCTTACTCTATCTTTCATCCCACACAGGGGATGATCAGCAGATATACCCGTCTCCTCCAGACCTTGTAAGCCATGCAGGAAAATAAGGCCCAGGGCTTCCTCAAGACCAAAAGAAACAGAGGAATCACTGAGCCTGAAAACCTCTGGAAGGATTCCTGAAGGAGGGTCTGAGCTTGGTGGCTGCAGCCTCGCTGCTTGGCAGTGACTTGCTAGGCAGGGTGTGGTATGCCCCACCAGCATGCTACCCAATAGCCCTGACTGGCTCTGAGTGATTCCGCACACCAGTATTCACTCACTGTGGCGAAGCAGGGACAGAAGGCAGTTCTCTGGTACTCCAGGGCATCCCCAGGGCAACCACAAACTTCTTTCCCCAGTGCAGGTTCCCTTTTGACTAACGCAGAATGATTCCCACACTCTCTCCCACTGCTGGGGATGTCACAGGTGGGGACAAAGAAGGACTTTCTCGGCATCAAGAGTCTGGTGAGTTCCAGAAGCTCATGATTATCAGAGATCCCACCCATTGTTATCATTAAGGCTGCTCCCTGTAATAGCATCTCACATTTGGTGTTGTGGATCTCCACTGACGGACAGTTTACGTGGATAAAACCATCATCCATCAAAGCTGGGGCACATAATGAAAAACTAGCTGAATAAAGCAATAATGAAGAAACGGTTTTAAGGGTTTAAGCCCACACAGCCTCTCCTCCAGCCTAAACTAAATCCATTCTTCCTCACACAGTACAGAGGTGCTATCAACCTCCCTTCCCCACCTTCTCCTTCTAATCCACAGTTCAGTGGTTACTTCATGCACTTGCACATGGGCATCCAAGTCTAGCTGCCATCCTTTGCCAAACTCAAAGTTAAAACTTAAGCCACCAAGTTATCAAATGTCCTCAAAATGGCCTATGTGTTGTCCTGGGACTTGCTCTCAGTCTCCCTGGTGGAACCGCTTCACCTGGCACACATATTTATACATTAGACCACCAACTGAGAACACGAGGCCACAAAGTAAGAACTATAGCTCAGTGGTTGTAGCTGTTGTAGGATTCTGGAAGAGGAGACTGTGATCCTGATCCCAATGTACATTTCAACTGCTGAGAAACCTGGCAAAATTGGAGCTCCACTTACTCTCAATGGTTTGTAAGAGGTTGGGAATGCTCAGCTCTTGCAAATGATGTGACAGAGTAGGTGGGAGCAGAATGAGTTGGTTTCTTCATGTCAGACCTGGGTACAAAGTAGATGCTGAGAAGTTCAGCATCATTAGGATATAGGTGTTTCTATGCATTCCCAACAGCAAAAGTCAGGCTGTACGTTCTCACTCAGGAACTCACATATCAACAGAATATCCAAATCTCCACTGACATGTTGGATGGCCTCACATGCTACAGTGGTATACAAATATCACAGATAAGCAGGACATAAAACTTGAAAGTGCCAATCGCTCACCAAAACCTCAGTTATCATCCCTCCCATGCAACTGGAGGAACTCTGCTGAGGCACCAAAGTTAGGACACCAGTGAACTTCTAGATGGGCTGATTGCACCTCCTTCTCCACCAAGGCTCCACAGCTATACATGGTACTGTAGACAAATGTAGCCTGTACTCATAGAAAACCCTAAACAAACACAGTCTTTCCCAGCTCATGGACCGTCTCCAGCAACTCAGGACAGTGATCAGCTATGGCTTCCCTCTGCACTCCTCCAACGTGGAGGACTTAGAAGCACCATGCCATGTCGATGTTAGCAGCCATTAGCCTAAACTTGCTGAACAGTCATTTTCATCAGGGATGTGCTAAACTACATCACATAACTGTGCACCGCAAGGTGTATTAATCAAAAGATGAGCATTCCTATTTTGTCTTTGCCTATCACGTATTGTATCCCAGTACAGAGAAACCCTGACTATAAGAGGAAACCAGAATTGCAAATGACAGACAAATGAATATTTAATTCAAACCAGCAAGAGGTTGTTTGCAGTTATTTATTTTACTAAAATGGTTACATATGTTGAAACAAAGAAGAGCAATAGTAATAATGTTTGTTTTTCCAATATCATAAATAATTATTGAGTCTTCATTAGCTGTTGGCTCAGCACTGATCATGATTTTTGTTATTTAAAAAAAGACACACACATAATTCATTAGAATTTGTGTTTTCAGAAAACTCTAAAGCAGCAGTAGAAAAAAAAATAAATTAAAGGAAATGGTAACAAGAAATTATGCCAAGTATTTCTTAAATTTAAAACCCACTTGATGTGTTTTACAGATTATTCTTTGTGCTTTGATCATTTAAAAAAAGAACCACGAACAAGTTGTTTATAGAATGGCTTGTCTTCTCCAGTTTTACTCCAGAGAAGTCCTCAAAAGTACCTTTTTTATATGACAAATTTTGTTGTCATTTATAGAGACAAAAACACTGTGAATATTTCTAACAGAAAAGTTTGTCAAAACCATCAATTTATTGTCACAAAATATTTAATACCAGAATAACTTATAATAGTATGAACAAAAGTGAAGTATTAACTCTCTGCTATTAGTTATAAACTCACATTACTATGTCAAAATCCAGTAAAGTATCAAAAATTAATGTCATGGAATCTTAGACATATAATGATGCAAGTCAGTAAAACATATACTTCAACTGTTCATACAGTCATGACATACATTTCTTGCTTGGCACTTTAAGTCAATGCAAATCAGCAATTTAGAAAACAAAGTAAAAATATATATGTACAAAATATTTTCATATCAAATCATTTTCATTGTACACTAAATAAACCAAACAACATGTTATGTTACATCAAGAAGTTTCTTAAGAAGTCACACTAAGTATCTTGCAAAGTATCTTGACTATTTTAGTGCAACTGGAACAGCCTCTACTTGCAAGTTAGTTTCATCATTAGCACAGTCCTGCTTCCATTGAAGTGGGAGTTCTGCCATGAAACTCAGTGGGAGCAGGACTAAAGTCTTGTCTTGTTCATTGATGGCTCACCAAAAAGAGAAACAAGGAAAGGGATAAGTAGGAAAAAACCTGACAGGATACCCACAGGAAAAAAATCCAAATCCTAGCAACAATCAGCTCTTTTCCAGTTTTCTGTAACTGATTCAGTATAAATTGGTTTTGGCTTTGCCACTGTTTATTTAAGCACTGTAAACCTCATTACACTATTGTTACATGACTTAAGAACAACTTGTACCCCTCCCAATAAAACTTAAAAATAAACCTGGTTTTATGCTAGTTATTACACTCAATAGCAGTCAAGTTTAGAGACATGACATTTAATACATGGTTTAGTATCTACTTAAAACCCTTCCACCTTAAATGCTGAGATTTCTCAATGTTTCATTTCCCACTTGTGTTTCTAGTTTGGGCTTTGATAGTTCATATTACACCTTTTTCTCACTGAAACGTGAACTGTCAATCAACTGTCCTCATTCACGCAGTACCTACAAAATAAAAATGTTTAAACCACATTAAAGTAATAAGTTCCACCCTGGAAACTTTTTTTGAGCTCCACTGGAAATAATAAATGGTACTATAGATTTAGTTTTGTACAAGAAGAAATCAATTTTAGTTCTATCAAAACTTCATTAAGTCACTAGCAAAGCTTTAAAATTACAGAAATTCAACTTGAATTTACAGCTAGCCTGGCTAGAACTTTCTCAACCAGAAATCTTTAATGAGCAACACAGCTGGGAGCATATGTATAAGTTCAAAATAATCTGAACAATTAACTTATTTTGTAAATTTGTGTGTTCTAGAGTATTGCACTTTTCAAAGGAATGATTTTGGTATTTTAATATACTGCATATACAGGTAAGAAACATGCATAACAACCTCATTGTCACTTTGACAAAACATACTGTACAATTTTTATAACACTGTTGATTAAAAAAAAAAAGGATGTAACAATTTAATTAAGACTTGTCAATTTGTACAAGTCAAATAAGCACAACTCTCCAGGGCCTCCAGCAGTAATGTGTTTAGCCCTAGGCTGCTTAAGCCCACTTAGAATAATATACAAAGTTTAAGCATTATGGCATTGTCATTTTGAGGCATAGTACTGTTGTACTATGCCCACGTTATAGCTTATTTTTTGAAAGCAAGGCACTTTAATAGCAATGCAAACATCTTATGCGCACTTTGATTAACATAAAATAAGTTAATGTTTTGATAAAACCAGTTTCTTATAATTTACATGCCTTTTATAGAAGCAATTGAACATTTCATTTAATACAATGAAAATGTCTGAGTCAGATGGAAAATTATTCTTTTTTAAGTGACCATACTGTAAAAGGGGGCCTAGTTTCCACATTTGCCTCATATCTGTGAATCTGATTTTGCTGAAAACCAATCCTGTGAGGAGAATGTCCGTTTGATAGGAAAAAGAAAAAGGACCCATCTCTTAAAACTGCTGAACTAATGGCACTTTAACAGTCTTTACTTCTGATATATGTGATGATTTCTGAATGATGCAGCTGGCAGTTCCCTGCAGTTTATCCTTCCCCTGGGCAAGGTTCGTTAGGGCCATAGCTGCGTTGATCTCCTTCCAGTATGTTTCATCTTTGCTGGTTCCTTTTCTGTTAGCTGCGCTAGATTCAAGCAATAACAAATATTTACATGTACAGCTTACATAGCTACGTGATGTCAGGAAAATCATCATCATAATAATTTTGTAAAACTGTGAAGTCCCTTACTCACCTTTCACACTTATTTGGTCCATTCTCCAGAGCTTCTGAAAACAGAAAAAAAATATGTCTATTTTCTTTTAATAGTTTTTAAAACAAGCAAGATCATGGAATAGGCATATGGAAAAATAACCCAAGATTAATTCAAAAAATAATACCAGATTTCCAAATAAAATCTTTTTTTTTGACATATATACAGGGCCAGCTTCATGCAAGTGTCTGCCTGAAGAAGTCTACACTGAGCTTGGAGCAGGGCACATGTCAAAAAAAATGTTGTGAGGAGATTCCCAAGACATGAGTGTACAGATACAAGCTTTGGTGAGGCAGAATCTCA